TTAGCCCACCATAAAACACCTTCACAGGACGTAAATAACCCGACAACTTTTGCTATCAAATAAATTCTCTTTGAGAGTTCGTGTGTAAAAAATCAATTTTTTCCCTCTCTGTCTGATTTCGAATGAACACAAAAGTTCAAAGAATTTGAATCGGATAAAGGACATTTGAGAACGCCTTGCTAAGACTTTTCCCTATATTTTTGCACATAACTTTGTAAGTTGGTTTCTGATAGGTATACCTAATCCAATATTCACTAAGTAAGAGGGATAATTTGGCAAAATGGAGTTGAAAACTAATGGAATGATTTCCCACATGTTTTATATTGGGTTTTTGGTGCTTTCATGTATCAAATATTGGCTACTATGTGAATGTACTAAAATGTTTCTAATAGAATGAAAAAAAAAATTCTCGCTCTCATACAAAATTACTATTATGGCGAGTTGTATACCTACCTTCCGAAACAGCTTAAACGAATTCACTTAATTAAAAATCAACAAAAGTAACTATTTGATTTATTAATAACATGACAACGCTCTCGTAAATGGTTACTAAAGTTATAAATATTTGCAGCATCTAACACTTTCTTTCCAAGTAAGTATTATTAATATCACAAACGGGGGTCAAAATATTGCATTTATACAACTAGGCCAAAATATCATAAGTGGAGTTGTTGTAACCACTACTAACATTAACAATGCATGAATGCCTAGAACGCGACGCTAACTAATTAGAGTTCCGACTTACAAACTAGGTTTCTCTATCCTGGAAAACTTTACAAACAGACAACTATAGTTAGTCTTTGCACAAGGATCTCGGCTGTGATCATTCCAAACTACCTAAATAAGTTGTATAAGTCTATGGAATACGTTCTTCAAAAGCACTTGCCAAATTTTTGTCTCGCTGCTCTGGTACTTAGTGCAAAAAAATTATTTTATTTATTTATTTATTTATTTACAACGACAACAACACTACACTGTCATCACAGGACATCCCACTGCGACAGCGAAGACAACACATCAACATACACAACGTCAAATACACAACTAGAAACCACCTACGTATACAAACCAAAATATTAAGATATTAAAGGCTCCTATGAGCATTTTGACGATTTGTAAGAACTAATTTAATATGTCTAAACAAATAAAGATATTTTTGATTTTGAATCATAATATACAGAGTTTAAGTTACGAGTAAAATTGACATTTCTAAAGCTTTACCTAAATAATATAGTTCTGCTACGTCTCTCCGAAGACATAACAGGTCAGAAATGAATCCTATGTCCTCTCTGTTACCGGATCCTCCCTTAATAATTCTGGATCTGATAGCCCATATTTCTGTATGATTTTCATCAAAGCTCTTGTATGCAGTAGATACCTATACTCGTTTGTGTAGAACTTATGAGAAACCATCACTGCAGTCAGCTAACGAATATTTTAGGACGGTGAAAGCATTTTGATTTCTCTCTGTCTTTGTGATGTCAACGTGAAATTGCGAACTCTGACAGTTTATAATAGCGCGTGAGATTATACCTAAACTAACAGTGAGCTAAGTTAGATTGTAAATCTAACTACGTAATTCACAAATACGAGTACATCTTGCTATCTATTTTTTGCAACCTAGAACTGCAAACCGTTGCTTAACAGTATAAAATTGAACCGGAAAGTTAGAATCTCTTTCTTTGTATCCTCATTAAGTTAAATCGTGCTGTTTGTTTTAACAATCCACTTCCAAGACCTTTTTTGTAATATTGGGAACCGTTATGGCAACTGGACAGGTCTATAGAATATACAAGACGTCTGTTTCTTTGTTTTGATAACATAATACCCCACAAATACCAACAAAAGAAAATCCTACACCCATTTGATATTCAAAGTGTATTTCCCCCTAGAGATGTTTGATGATAAATTGACGATGATCGACGAATATTAATTATAGGAAATATATTCTAGTGATCAATATATGTATTGTCAAAACACAGAAATGTCCAATCTTCTGGACAGTTTAACTACGGATTAAATTCTCTGTTATTAATATAACGGCTGTAAAAAAATATGTCCTACTTATAAAATATTTTGTGCCTGGATTTTAATTGGTTCATGCAAGTCCCAGATCGACCTATCCTGCTAATAATTATAAATGTGAAAGTATGTAAGGATGTTTTTACTCTTTCACGCAAAAACTACTAAAGTACGGCCAACGAGAAGCGATACAAAAGGTCGATTCGACTTTTGCATTGACAATCTATTCTGTCTCTTCCCATCTTGTGTATTTGTCGTAATGTCTCGTTCTCCCGCCAAAATATGTCAAAGTCAAACCCGTAAGCTGGGTTGCAACATCTTACTTTAACTTTGACAAACGTCAAAACTCTCTCAAATTCCATACAAAAAGCACCGGTTATCGTCATAGTTACCGTTAAGGATAGGTGGTGCAACCCACCCCTACTATTCCTAATGACAATGACATTGGGTTTGTTTACATTTGGTATTGCTTCTCGTTGGCCGTACTTTAAACGGATTTTGATGAAACTTTACAGTATTATTATTTAACATCAGAATAACATAATTATAGGCTATAATTTATATTATAACGATTTGTGACAAACTGTATTTCACGCAGGCATAGCGTAATTTTAATTTTTACATTCACATTTCACACCCCAGGGAAAATAAGTGTACGAACACAAGACACTCCTTTAATTATAGTCGATCGAAGTTCAGTTAATTAAATTTAATTAATATCAGTTTACTGGTTCGGTAGCCTGTAAAGGAAAGCTCTTGTTAGTTGATTAAACAAATTTCAAGATTTAATTTAGGGTTTTTGCTTTTCAATATTTATTTTCAAGGTCCAGGCAGATAAATTTTAAAGTTTGCTTTTGACTAATTTGTAAAATTAATTCTCTGAATCATAGTATTTTCGAACATAGGTAGTCATGTTTTTAAATCTTTGTCTTTTCTTTAATTTATTAGATTAAGAATTAAAGAAAAGTAAAAGATTGTAGCTTGTCGATTTCATTTTTGTAATTTTTGTACTGTATCAAAAACTTTTATTAAATAATAGTTTTAGAATGACAATATTTAAAGCGTACCTAAATCAAATTTTTTATGTTGTTTGTATTATAACATATACAACGTGTCCCAAAATTCAAGGATAAGCCGGCGCCGCAGGGTGGACATAGTCATGACTGCTTTAGGAAAAATAAGAAAAAAAATCTATCTCAATTATTTTTTAAGTTCACAATAAATTATGAAATTCGTCGAAAATTGACACCCCTTATGATATTTTACATTACCACGACTACAATTTTTCAAATACTTCACTTTTTTTGTTTGTATCGGCAACTTAAGTAGTGCTGCTGTCCACCCCAATTCTTAAAACCCTCAGAATCCTTGCAGTTTTTACACAAAAGTTAATCAAAATATGATATTTCCTTAAAATTTTGAACGATTTTTACTTACACTCCACTTTGACTCGTCGTTTTAAAAAAAAACAGTATGAACACTACTGCGGCAAGTTTTTTATAAAGTTGACGCAACTATCCAAGATTCCGAAATGGTATAATACTCTAAGAAAACTAGTCGCAAAAAAGATATGCGTACCATTTTTACAAGCATTTCGCTTGTAAGTTAGTATGAGATAAATCTTGCAACTGAATTTAAAACCAGTTCTCCTTAACCAATTGAGCTGAAATTTGGTATACTTGTGTAAGTACGATGACAATGCAATATTATGGTACCATTGAGCTGGATGGAGTATGGAGGTGGCCATAGGAACTCTTAACGAAACGGCGGAATTACATCTAGTTTGGGTTCGTTGGACTTGTCTTTTCGAGCACTTTAGTGCTAGACGATGTTCAGGGTCCTGATGATGAAGTCAAGAGGTGGCAGGAGCTGGCCATAGGAACTCCTAAACGAAACGGCGGAAGCTTATCGAGTTTGGGTTCGTTGGATTTGTCTTTTCGAGCACTTTAGTGCTAGATGATGTCCAGGGTCCTGATGATGAAGTCAATTATAATTTTCAAACGAAGTCAAGCTTGTTTTTAAATAAGTTTTTTTTATTACAACTTTATTTTAAGCTTTTTAGTTGTTTCTCAATCTCATGGCCTAAGTGCTCGGGAAGACAAATCCAACGAACCCAAACTCGATAAGCTTCCGCCGTTTCGTTTAGGAGTTCCTATGGCCAGCTCCTGCCACCTCTTGACTTCATCATCAGGACCCTGAACATCGTCTAGCACTAAAGTGCTCGAAAAGACAAGTCCAACGAACCCAAACTAGATGTAATTCCGCCGTTTCGTTAAGAGTTCCTATGGCCACCTCCATACTCCATCCAGCTCAATGGTACCATAATATTGCATTGTCATCGTACTTACACAAGTATACCAAATTTCAGCTCAATTGGTTAAGGAGAACTGGTTTTAAATTCAGTTGCAAGATTTATCCCATACTAACTAACAAGCGAAGTGCTTGTAAAAATGGTACGCATATCTTTTTTGCGACTAGTTTTCTTAGTGTATTATACCATTTCGGAATCTTGGATAGTTGCGTCAACTTTATAAAAAACTTGCCGCAGTAGTGTTCATACTGTTTTTTTACAAAACGACGAGTCAAAGTGGAGTGTAAGTAAAAATCGTTCAAAATTTTAAGGAAATATCATATTTTGATTAACTTTTGTGTAAAAACTGCAAGGATTCTGAGGGTTTTAAGAATTGGGGTGGACAGCAGCACTACTTAAGTTGCCGATACAAACAAAAAAACTGAAGTATTTGAAAAATTGTAGTGGTGGTAATGTAAAATATCATAAGGGGTGTCAATTTTCGACGAATTTCATAATTTATTGTGTAACTTAAAAAATAATTGAGATAGATTTTTTTTCTTATTTTTCCTAAAGCAGTCATGACTAGGTCCACCCTGCGGCGCCGGCTTATCCTTGAATTTTGGGACACGTTGTATATTATAACATAATGAACAAGCCAAAGCGATATTTTAACGGTCTTATTCATAATCATTTTTCACATTTTATCAAATGCTTATTAGAGGTTTATAAAACGTTTGATAAAAATTGTTATTCATAATCGTCATTTAGCGCTAAAATCCTCTTATAACTGTGTGATAAGTTATCGAGAGCTCGGGCCTTGTTTAAAGCTCTAATAAACCTATTTTAACCTAACTTTTATAAATGTCATTTCATATGAATGTCACTTCGTTGGTTTATTTATTCAAAATATCCTTGCTGTGATCCTTGCTTGTGAAAATGAATGCTATAAATGCAATTGTGCATTTAGCCAATAATGCCGACCCAGCGCGACGTAGAAAGCTCTACCGCCAACGAAGCAACCCATTCGATTTGCGGGACCTAAATTTTAAAATAAAATATAGGTTCAATAAGGACACAGTGCGCACCATCATAGATTTGGTGGAAGATGATCTGGTTCAGAGCGCTAGAGGTGGTGGCACGTGTCCTGAACTGCAAGTTTTAGTGGCCATAAGATGTTGGGGACGTCGTGAGGTAAGCACAAAAAAGTGTTTTATTTTATCCCTTTGTCGTGGCTGCTATAATTATTTTCATACATTTTCAGGTACAAGATGATGCTGGTGACCTCCATGGCCTAAGTCAGCCGACAGTGAGCCGGATATGCGCCAGAGTCGCGCATGCAATCGCGAATAAGGCAAATTCCTTCATCAAAATGCCTATCACTATAGGAGAGCAGGAAAGAATTAGTGCCAAATTTAGAGCAATTAAAAATTTTCCTGGGGTGATAGGAGCCATAGATTGCACCCACATTAAAATTAAAAAAACCGGAGGTGAATTTTATAAATCAACATTTTTGAATGGTACTAAAATACATTTTGATAAATTCCAACGATTTACTTTTATGTAATGTCATTTGAGTTCATGAAAATGTTGTATTTTAATTTTTCAGATACTGTTCCTGGCATCTTAATGAAAATAAAAAGAATATTTGATTGAAAAATACCTGTATTTCAATTTTCAGTCCAATTTGTTACTATCACAAAAACAAAACCTGTAGTTCTCTTTAAAAAAGCAATTATTCTGCAAAAATTCAAAACAAATTACTTTATATCACTAATTTAAGTACAATTAGTTTCAACAAACTTACTTATTAAAAATCACAGTTCAATTCTTTAAAACAAAGAAATTGCTTAAGTATAAACGTTTCTATTCGGAGGTTATCAACCTTCTACATTTAAAACAAAATAACCATAATTTACACTATTATTATAAAGGCGAATGTTTGTGACTAGGCATATGTGTATTTACTTTATATCACTAATTTAAGTACAATTATTAAACTTACTTACTAAAAATCACAGTTCAATTCTTATAAACAAATAAATTGCTAAAACAGATAGATTATATAGTCTCGAATAACATATAGGCTTCTTTTTATCCTGGAAAAATGCACAGATCCTGTAGGTTACAGAAATAGTAGTCTACGCAGGCGGAGTCGTGGGCAACAGCTAGTTAATAGTAATCTCAAACTCTTATTAAGTTATGACTAGTAAACATATTCATAGCCGTCTAAATATATTGCAGAAACACAATCAAAATGCGGATTGGAACTGCATAAAATACAAATTAAAAACAAACAGAAGTAAGGGAGGAACTAACTTATTATTTAGAATCTGTTAGTACTTGAAAAACTTTAACATCAAAAGACTTATTATTCTTTATTAATGTGAGTGTAATATTTAAGTTTTTCCTGTAATAATTGATGCTCAAGATCCAAGTTTCTCCCTTTCTTCCGTTCGTTTTCCATTTGAACTTCATGCAGTTCAATCCGGCATTTTGATTCTGTTTCTGCAATTTCGGAAATCCTAACTTTGCTTAAATCAATTAAGCCTTCTTTGTTTAACAGTTTCCTTTTTTTTTTGATTGCTGGTGCTTTAAAATTAGGTTTTGCTTTATTTTCTTTTGCCTCTACTTTTTTATTTTCTTTATCTTCCAATATGCCTCTAGTAGTACAAGCATGTGTATCTTCTATTTCTTCATCAAGTACCACCAATTCATATTGGATTTCTTCATTATTTATCAATTCCTGATCTTGCGTATTTTGAGTTGATTCCTCCTCTTGAATGTTAATTAATTCACTTTTATTTGAGTCCGAGTCAAATCTGTTAACATCGACTACAAATTCATTGGGCAACCAAGATGCTATATCATCAGCCCTATCGTCAGGCACTGATAATGGTGGACCACCGCCAGTTTTAATTTGAGCCTGCCTAGCAATGGTCTTGTCTTTCTTCGCACTGATTTTTATGAGGCTCCATTGCGATTTTAACTGGGTAATGGAGCGGTTCATACCAGCGCACATTGAATTAAACCTGAAAAAGAAATGACAGGATTTTGAATTACAGGTAAAGGCAAAATTTTATATTGAAGGCAGAAATCAAAAGATGTACCAACGTTGTTTGTAAATCAGCCCAAGCCGCAACCTTCCGTTTATTCGTGTTAGTGTCTGTATTTTTATTTTCGATTGCATTTACTCTTTCTTTCACCAACTCTTTCAGCAAATACTGAAAAGCAAACACTAGGCGTCAAACATAAATAAAACCATGCTACAAAAATTAGTAGGCACTTTATCAGGCTAAAAATAAGTACTACCTTATCTTCCTCCAACCAGTTTTCTGATCGTTGCCTTTTAGGCGGTCTGTTCTCCTTCGTCATGGACATAATTAGTATCCGATGTAACTAGCCGGGTCGTCGTAAGAGCTTATTGCAGAGTACAGGGTAAGAGGTACAGAATCCAGAACATACAATCCCAAGTTTTATAAAAGTTTGATAAAACTTGGGAGTTGATCGAAAAAACCGAAAACTTTATTAAATTTTCGTGCCAAATGTCAATGTCAGTAAGTAAAACGTCACAGCTGCCAATTTTTTGTTTTTTTTTTCTGCGATTTGTCTATGATTTTACATGGTCCATCAAGTTAAATCACCAAAAAAGCTGTTTTCGTTCATTCTTTTTGTATAGTCTGTGGAAAGAAAATATTAAACTCTGTTTTAGCTATCAAAGGTTTATAAACGATTATGAATAACGTTTTTTATCAGAGGTTTATAAGAGTGTTTTAAGCCTATCAAACGTTTTAGCTAATGTAGGTTTTAAACCTATATTAGCATTTTATTATGAATAAGACCGTTAAATGTTTACTATTAAATTTTATTAATGGCGGAATTTGAATGTTTAATTAATAAGTATTATCCAAGCCAAGCAACGACACAAAGTTCTTTGTTCTGTCTCACCACAAGACAAGCGTCACTTTCCTCGTCTTAACCGTGTATGTGGTTATTTTCTATTTTTGGCCATCCAATTAGTTCTGACATTGGCTCTAAGCCCTCAGCCCACAAGATAGACAAACGCCTACACAAAACAAAATATTTGCTCAGTAATTTTTAGCTAAATCTACGTAATTTCATTGTAATTTAAACCAATTTATGTTACGTAGGGCACTATTTAAGTTGTGAGCCTTGACAACATACGTGTTGTTAGACGATATCTGATACTTTTATTGAAAAGTTTGTCATTCTTGACTATAACCTTATTCAAAACTTTTTATCATTTGAGCACGTTTTATATTATTAATATAAATTTGAAAATTATCTTGACCACATGAATATGGAATTGACTTGCGGAAATTTTCGTGCGGAGATTTATTATGACTTAGGACGTGGATAATAATCAATACAAAACTGAAGCGGTCAGCTAAATTTAATTTTTGGTGATGAAGAGCTATATTTTACAATTGTCAAACGCTAGTTTAGTAAATATAATAGTGTATATCATTGGCTCACCAGCAAACTTTGTGAAAGTCGTCCAAAATGAGTAGATAATAGTGGCAGAAAACATTGATGTTGTCAGAAAAATCTAAGGATTGAGACAACCCTAGGCATTAATTCCACTAGCAGTAATTAAATATTGCATGATCATTATTATCATTAATAAGACTTTTTCTCGTTGAATGTCACAAAATTTTTCAAACGCTCAAAAGGATGCTTGTGTCGATTAGTCCTTGTAAATGCTTGCAAAATACCTTTAAAGAGCTTCAAAAGCAGTTTTTAAAATTATGACAGTTGACGAACCAAGGAACTACGCTTAAGATCCTGAAAATAAACAGCAATCGGCTACTGAGGTGTTTTAAGGTGAACCAATTCCGACAAAAGTCCCAAGCGCTCGAAACACTTTAAAACTTACGGTCGCTTATTTTTCCGGAATACCTGATAATCTGACAGAAACGTCACTATAGGAATTTATAATGGTTATAAAATTTAATAGTAAATCGCTACTAATTGTCAAAAGTCTTCAGTATAATAAGAAAAACTGACCAACACAGTAAAATCGTCATTTTTGATGAAAAAGTGGGATTTTCCACGTCTTGTCATACAACTGACTATTAGAACACTTAAAATATGAAATAAACTGGGTGAGTCATTACTAAAATCTTACTTGGAATCCAAACTATTATTTTGATACCCATATATTAAAATTAAATGCGTGGACAGCGATTTAAGTGGACAAAACAAACACCATGCTTTGGAGGTGCCTCAGGCAGAAAGGAAAAACTGCTATGAAAAGTGTATCAGACACATCCAAAAGTACATAGATCATGAAAGAGAATACCAGTAAACACAATTAATACCATTTTAATAATAAAATACTTTGTTTTCATAGTTAGGCTCAACACTTAAATAGTTCCCAACGTATTATCTAGAATATCTAACTTACCTACAAACCACGCTCGAATTAAAATATGAATGTAAAACCGAACTTTAACTTTATGAATAGTCATTACAACGTAGGCTTTATCTACAGATAGCCGTTTAGTAGTGTCAGTTATTATAAATTCAAAACACGTAAATGATTAGTGTTGTTTGTTTAACATACTGCAGATGTGTAGATGTTGTGGGCAGAAATTTCAATGAATAGATGCGGTCGCAAACAGAATTCGTGATGCAATTTTACGCCGGCTTCTATCCACGAGCATGGTGCTATGGTGAACTGTGATCGACTGCAGTCGATATGCAATTTCGCAATCACACCGAGGCAGATTACATTTTTAATCCCGCTCGACGAATGCCGCTCAACACATGACATGATTTTTTTCCAATAAATTTTAAATTTGGCTTTGGGCATGTTGTGGTCAATAATGGAAGTACCTACAATACGCTGTATCAAAGCTTTGCTCTCATTTACCTCTTTGCAAATATTCACTCATAAGTATAAATATAAGTATGCACAGTGTTTTAATAATACCTATACAAATGACCTTGTATTTTACTTTAATACCTAAGTACAGTCGCGGAATGAAAAGGTTCGTCACCTTAGTGTCGGTTTTCGCTTGCACTAGGTACTGTAAGAGTCAAACCTGCCAACATAACCGTGCAAGAAACAGTGCTGCTAACATTTAAATAAATATGACGTTTGCTAACGAATAAGGTTTTGCTTGTTTAATTTTCTATCCCATGCAGTGTTACAAAATGTAGTTATTTTTTATTTAATAGAAATAATAATGGCAGGTTGAACCCACAAGAAGGTTTTAGTTTATCAATCATAATAATCTTGACAAGATAAATCGTCAAACAACTTTGATCTGAATAATTTTGAACTTTAGTGACAAACAGTTAAAGATTATTTTCTCTAACTCGAGATTATTCTCTAACATAGTTTCAAAAGGTAATATGTGCTCGCAATTCGTTGAAGGAATCAATTTGAAAACTGACGAACCTTTTCATTCCGTGACTGTACATTAATTAGTATTTACGTAACAGACCTTAGCAATTTGGCATACCAAATAAATACGTATTTCCTCGGGAAAACATCGGATTTATAATGTAATAACGTTTGCAAGACTAAACACAACCCTACTTGTATCAATAAACGTAGTAGCTCTTCTTCGTTCATCTAAGTTGAAAATACGCAGACACATCGAATGTTATGAACAAAAAGTACAAATCGGTATCAAAGCAGTGATGTAGCTTTGGGAGAGTCATTCAAACAATTGAAACACTTGAATCAACGTTGCCGCGATCGTATTTTAGCTAGCTTTACTCCGCGGCTTGGAGCGAACGAAATTGGGGATAATAAAATATCGTATTCATTCAGTATAACTACTATCTTTATTCTGAGCCCTCTTTTATAAAGGCCGTAGTTATATCCCCAATTCTTGACCTCAGCTTCGGCTATAATTAATTATGATAGAGGTCGTTAAGCCATGTCGGAGAGCCCATAAGGTTGGCGAGAATGTCCACTCTGGGCGCACTATTCCGCCAACCCTCATTGAACCGCAATGGGTGTGGCAATCTCCCTTGTTGTATACTTATTTATAAGTAGCCGTAATAACATTTTCAGCCGCAAGACTTCCACTCATATTAGTTTGAAAACAACGCGTTCTTGGAACAGAGGCGGCGTTTACAGTAATTATACACGTGGAGTGGAAATATAAAAAAACTCGCCATTGCCTGCGGCTCTACACGAAACATTCAGTTGGTCACAGGCCGCGTCGTATTCAATTTGTTACAGGAAGATTTCATCGTACCAACATGTTATCCTAGGATGAAAACTGAGCCTATAAAATATCAATTTGGGCTGTGATACGTTTATTGCGTTGCTGTTCATCCAATTATTAAATACTAAAAATATTTTCCATTTATTTCAATTTTCAAAGGATTGTGTATCACATTGATAGCATCACTCAAGGAATACCACAGAACTCTATTAATCTCTGTTTTTGGCAACGTAACACAGTATTATCGCGCATTATGTTTATCCTGTCATGGCAGTCAATTGTTTTTAATACATAAATAAGAAATCAATATTGAATATTGATTAATCTTTGTTCCAGTGATGGTGTTGGGCGATGTTTGCGCGCGGGCGCTGCAGAAGGCGGCGCTACTGGTGTGCCTGCTGCTGGGCGCACTGGCGCCGCAGCGGCTGGAGCCGTGCGCCAACAGCCCGCTGTGCTCCTGCCGCGCCGCGCACATGTCCTGCATCGCCGTGCCGCTGCACAGGTTCCCAGGTAAACTTGCACAGGTTCCCAGGTAAAAAAATACGGTACTGCACAGGTAAACAAGCAATGATGCATCGAGATGCAGCGGTTGAGGCCGTACGCACATGTCCTGCATCGCCGTGCCGCTGCACAGTTTCCCAGGTACACACGACGGCACTACACAGGTCCACAAGTAATTATACGTTGAGATGCAGCGGCTGGAGCCGTGCGCCAACAGCCCGCTGTGCTCCTGCCGCGTCGCGCACATGTCCTGCATCGCCGTGCCGCTGCACAGGTTCCCAGGTAAACTTGCACAGGTTCCCAGGTAAAAAATGATGGTACTGCACAGGTCCACAAGTATTTGTACGTTGAGATGTTGCGGCTGAAGCCATGCGCACATGTCCTGCATCGCCGTACCGCTGCACAGGCTTCCAGGTAAACTTGCACAGGTTACCAGGTAAAAAATGATGTTCCACAAGTAATTATACATTGTGATGCAACGGCTAAAGCCTTGCGCTAACAGCCCGCTGTGCTCCTGCCACGCTGCGCACATGTCCTGCATCGCCGTGCCGCTGCACAGGTTCCCAGATACACATGACGGTACTGCACAGGTCCACGAGTAATAATGCGTGAAAATGCAGCGGCTGGAGCCATGGCACGACACAGGTTCCCAGACCTAAGTGCACCGTCTCTGTAGTGACTAGAGAAGTACGCCAGCAGGTTGCAGTGTTATTGTATATGCGATATTATGTGCTGAATCGCTGCCTATGTTCTAAATTGTCTACTCGTATGGCTTCCAGAAAGCCATTTATAGCAATAAACAACTATTTACGTATGCCTTAAAGTGTGTGTAGGACTAATAAACGGGCAGAACATGAAGTCCAGTTTACTCATAAGCTACCACATGCTACAGTAAAGAGCCACATTTTGCGTTTCAAAGGTAAATAACTCAAGTAAACCAACAAATACAAATATTGACAAGAAGCGATCGCGGCATGATAAGCAAATCTACGTTTAATATTCTTAACTTCCTGGCTACGACACTGTTAAAGATCTTTTGCTAAAATATTAACTGGTTTTTCCCTATCTCAATTAAATATTTCCGTGAGTTAGTGTTATTTTATCCTCTCTAGGCATGCTTTCCAACACGCTCATTCGGATGAATATTCCCAACTGACACGCGATTTATTCCAGTGTTTCTAGCTGAATACGAAATATTCTAGTAATAACTGCAAAAGAACAGTACAACACATGTGTGTTGTTCATAAGGCCACTCGCGCTTGAGCCAGTTTTATGAGGCGCATCTGACGAAATATTGTCGGAATGTTACTTCACTCTCAAACGCAGGTTTTGAATTCCTCAAGCACATTTACATTTCAACCAGAGTGAGGGAACATTTCCTGTATTATGCAGCACCCACAAAATAAAAGAGAAAACCTTATGAAAGAGCTTTTTTATTTTTTGCTTCCTACTGATCGATTATTTCTTTTACAGAATGGCCGCGAATAGAACTGCAACATTTGGACATAAGTATGTCAAATCTGGAAGTGTTACCTGAAAGTGCATTGGACGGTTTACGATTACAAACTTTAGTTTTAGTAGCTAACAAATTGCACCACATCGAATTACATGCATTTAGGTAAGCTTTAGTATTATAGCAAAACTTTAGCAACGTTTCTCCCCGAATGCACTTTTTAATAACCATCATTTGTTTGCAGCTCTATGGCTGGTACTCTAGCCTCGCTAGACCTCAGTTACAACGAATTTACTGAAATACCGCAGCAAGGCTTGAAAGATTTAAAAGTTTTAAACTGGTTAAATCTGCAGAAGTAAGTACGAGTTTTGAATCTAAATTGTATAAAAGTTTTACTTGAGCGTTTAACTTAACTTCATTAACAAAATAAAATTGTTTTAGCAATAACATAGCGCATGTTGGAGCTGAAGTTAGATGGCATCACCTGGAAGAAACGCTGACTAGTTTGTCGTTGAGCAACAACCAAATCACTCACCTGAAGGCGCAAGCCCTGACGACCCTGTACCACCTGTCGCAACTAGACCTGGACGGCAACCATCTCCGCACCATCAGTCCTGAATCCCTACCAGCCTCCATCACAATCCTAAAGCTATCAAACAACTTCTTACACGAAGTCTCGTGCGACTTACTTTTTAATCTTCCCAGATTACAGTCCGTACATTTGCGGCATAATTTTATTACTTTCAACATTAATTCCACTTGTTCGAGCAACAGAAACAAAAAGATTGAAAAGTTAGACGTAAGTAATAATAAAATTAATGACTCCTCAGATATTCCAGTGCTGAGAGAAATTCAAATTAGACAAATTATATTAGATCTTAACGAACTTACTGTTATACCGAGACTAGTGTATACCAATAACAGAATTGAGAAATTGTCTGTTTCATACAACAAATTGAGTTCAATTTATCGGGACGTATTTTTGTCGTTGAGAAACTCACTGGAGCATCTGGAAGTGGAGCACAACAAATTGTCTCACTTGCCGGACAGCCTGGCCCAGGTCGCGCGGCTCCGCCATTTATCGCTGGCTTACAACCAGCTGGAGGAGTCCCCTCCCCTCCCCAGCCGGATTCAGACGCTCTCACTCGCCGGCAACTTTTTAACTTCAATACCCACTGCACTTCAAACGCTGGAACCCGGCTCCATTCGTTATCTCGACTTAAGCTACAACAGGATATCTAATTTGTTACCCAACGAATTCCTATACTGGACCACTTCTCTCGGTACCATCAATTTGAGGGGTAACAGGATTGCGCAGATTTATAAGAATGTTTTTCCGGCAACAATGCCAGTAAAGGAGATTAATCTGAGCTTTAACGACCTGTACTATGTGCATCCACAATCTTTTTCCAACGTAACTAGCTCCTTGCAAGTATTAGAGTCGTCTTCGACTCTTTTCAGCGGTTATTTTCCGTTTGAAGTGGACGAAGGTCTGGAAAATCTTAACGTTTTATCGTTTGATAATAACGATTTTCATATCCTTCGGTTATCGGATATTTCTACATTTCCGTATCTAAAATATCTGAACTTAGATTACAATAGGATCGTAGATATTGTTGTAGACGACGATTATCAAAACATTTCATTACCTTTGAGTAATATTAGAATAGCGTACAACTTTTTGAGTTCGCTGCACAGTCGCACGTTCGCGTATATGCCGGACTTAAGGAACTTGGATTTATCTTATAACCGCATCAATAACTTAACTAAGCACAGTTTCACAAACTTACCAAACTTGAGATATTTATCTCTTGCGGGTAACATAATCGATTCGATGGAAGCTGAGACCTTTGCTAATTTACCGAAATTGGAAATATTGGAACTCCAAGGCAACAACTTCACTTATTTATCAGTAAATTCGTTTTATAACGTTTCACATCCAGATATAACGTTTACTTTGAACGTTAGCCGAAATCACATTAAATATATCGACGGAGACTCCACGATATCCATTAACATATTTGACGGTTCGTATAACGAATTCCAAGATGTGCCAAACAATTTCTTTATGAACATAGAATCTTCAATACGACAAATTATATTATCTCATAATAAGATCACCCATATTAACAGTGAAGCATTCGGAGAGTCGATGTATTTGGAAATTCTAGATTTACACAAGAATAATATTAATAGTATTAAAAGAAAATCTTTTTCTGATCTTATATCTGTGCAAATATTGGATCTCTCGTTTAATATAATTTCTCAGATGTCCGTAGAGCAATTTTGTAATTTAAATAAATTAAGATATTTAAAGTTAGATCATAATAATATACGGTTACTTCCAAGAGATGTGTTTAAAAACACTATAATAGAGCATTTAGATTTGAGTCACAACGAGATATCGCTGTTCCCCGTCACGGCGCTGTCCCAGATCGGCTTCACGCTGCGGTACCTCGACCTGTCTCGCAACAGGATCGAGTACTTAGATAGCAACATATTCCGGAACACGCAATTCCTATTAAATTTAAATTTAGGCCACAATTTGCTAACTGTATTATCTGATAACACGTTCTCGAGCCTCGGAGGGCTGCGCGAACTGGACCTGGGGTTCAACTCTATAAAAGCAAACTTTAAGGAACTGTTTCACAACCTCCCCAACTTGAGGCATTTGAATCTTGCAAATGTAAGTTTAAAGTCAGTGCCTTATCTACCTTTGACAAACTTAACTAGTCTCAATCTAACTTCAAATTACATAAACAGTTTTAAAGAGACTGATGTTAAACGATTAGGGAACCTTCGCAGTTTAGATCTAAGTCATAATCGTCTTACCTCTCTAGTGCCAAAGATGTGGATACATTTAACCAATTTGAACGTACTCGATGTATCATTCAACCCTATAGTGAGAATCACGCCAAATAGCTTCAAGTGGTTGAATAATTTGTCTCATTTGAATTTAAATGGACTTAAATACTTAGACATAGTTGACCAAGATTCCTTCCGTCCCCTAATATCTTTGAGATCGTTGCATCTCCAGTCGTGGTCCACCATAAACCACTCCACATTCCGCATTTGTAACATCACCTCGTCCCTGCCATCCCTGTACAAGTTAGTGATACACTGGACGGATAATGTCATGGACACGCAGCTCCATGGGGTCGACGCGAGAAACATCCGCTACTTAGAAATAAGAGGCGCGAACCTGAAGCGAATAAATGATGAGGCATTCGAATCATTTGCCAGCAGCCAAGAAATATTCATCAAGATAACTGCTACATCTCTGACGAAACTACCGACGGAGTTTATGAAACATTTAGGGCAGATTCCGCAATTGGGCGTCGACTTAAGTTATAATCAACTCACGACACTTAATCCTGCCATCTTCTATCCAAATTTCACGAGCTGGAGTCACGTAGCAACTAAATTACTATCGGGTACGTATGAAGTTAACCAATGGTGTAATAATTTCTACTTGCCCTATTAATGTAATAAGAAAAGTTCTAATAACTTTGTGTGAAGCTACCGACAAAACGTTTTACGTGTGCGTCTATAACTGATAATACGTGTGTAGACAGGTACACAAACATTTAATAATAAATTATGATAGATGGGGTTTCGTGTTGTGGTTTAATCACGGTTTAATCAATCAAAATAGTTCAGTGAATAGGTAAATAAGGTCGAATTACTGTTGCTCGCTCCGCAGCCAAAGTTCATCAATATTGTCGACGTTAACGCTATCGACATAATAATGTTTTCCTGACAGGAATTCAAATTTAACACAAACTACTGATTTGGTAGCAGGTACGAATACAAAACATTCATAGGGGAGAGTTCGGTATATTGTACCGCCGGGTAAATTGTACCACCCTCATATTTCGTAAAGTATTTATTGAATGTCTGTAACTGCAACACTCAGCGATACACAACTTAAATAAATTAATATCGGCCATGTGGTTTTTGCCGTGACAACAAACACGTGTGTTTTATTTTGAAAAGTATTTTTTCATTGTTTTCAAGTAACTTTTGACAATACATGTTTAGTTTGTAATTTTGTTAAATTTAATCACAGGGTGTTTCTAATATATTATTTAGAAGCGTAAATTAGTGTGGATTACAATTATTTGAAACATTTTTCAGTATTTATAAGCTATATTTTTTACCGATTTTTTAAAAGAACTATCACCTAGTCGGCTAAATTGTACCACATCAAGTTGTATGGAACTTTACCAAAGGATTTTGAAATTTTTTTTAGCAAATCATATTTTGAAGTTATAATAGCGTAGTTATGTTTGACTAACAATAAATGAAAGCAAAAGACTGGCAAAGTAGATTAGGTACAAGTGTGCGTTATGATAATTAGAATTACAAAACTTGTACTCAAAATCGTGATAACGTGTAAAACAATATCGATTGTCTATATTATTAACTACTGTTCCTTTTCGTTTCCTAATTTGTTAAGAATGTATCGTATAATATTTTGCCATAGTTTTTTTATAGGCTTGAAATTTATTGAAATTCAATTTAGTAACCCTGTGGTACAAATTATCCAACCGGTTGGCTAAATTGGACCGAAGCTCTGAACTCGTACTTTATTGATTTGTGCTAAATATACAACAATCGTGTTAATTAATACTTATGAAATAGTAAATTGAATAATGTATATTTTATTATATACCAAGGACATTAACAAAAACAAAAGAAAACTATGTGTAAAATGGGATTGAAAAAAACTGGTCCAAATTAGCGGACTCTCCCTTATTTGAATAATGTTACCATATAACTTAACTAGGCAATCTGTCTTCTTCAACAATTTAAGCATTGAAGACTTTGTGCAATCTTTATTAAACTTTATGGAGTCTTTCGTAATGGGTTTTAATTTTTAATAGGAACTTATCTCGTTGTAAGGCAGGTTGTTAACTTCCTTCGCATTATTTACGAGATCACATTCAGATTGTGGTGCGAGAAATGTTGTTTTATTTATAATACACTTACAAGTTTACGAACTACTTTCAAGGTGTAGTCATAAAAATATAAGTCGCAAGTGTTCACTTAGTATGCTGGGCATCTATTTTCTGGCGTAAGATTTGTGGCCTGAAAATGTAATAAGTTGCAAGCCCACCTTTGTATATCAGGCACGTTTGGAAAACGTAAAAGAATCATATTTCCTTTCGAGTGCAAGTTTTATCTATATGACACGAACATTGCACTTTAGTTTTGAAACCAAAATTCCCATGTGTCTGTCTCAATGTACAGTCACCATAAAAATGGTAAAACATTTGAATATAATTTAGGGACGTGTTCATTTATCAAATACCTAAATTTTTTTATATACCTATTTGAAAAGTTTCCTTTTACACGAGTTTCCTTTTTCGGTACCTACGATGATGGAAAAATAAATGGCTGAATTATTACAGGTGGTCTAATACTGACTGGCAACCCTCTCCGCTGCGAGTGCGAGCTAGCTTGGCTCGGGGCTTGGCTCCGTCGATGGCTACAAGAGAACGAGGCGGGGACGGAGCTCCGTCGGGCCGTCCGCAGCGCCACCTGCAAAGACCAAAATGGCCGCCACGTGCCGTTACTTCAGCTGCGCGCCGACGAGGCAGAATGCCACGCCAGCGCTCTCTCCAGCGACGCCCAACCAAACTACACCGACGTAGTTTACACAGTCGTCATAGCTCTCTGGACCCTCATCCTTAGATGATACCACGATAACCATTGCTACACTTTAGATAACTTGTAAATATGTTTCAATCACAAGGTCTATAGTAAAATTACTTAATTGGACGGACTGTAGTTGAAAACAATTTTATACACGGTACAACTGGAATATTATGTAGGTAATGTCGGCGTGTATAGGTAGTGTAATTAATAAGAGTTCATCTAATGCATGGAATTCTCTAAGGAACGTGTTTTCTAATAAGGTGTGTGTAAATGTAAATTAATCACGTTTTGTTTTATTAAAGTCAATTAATAGTTTCGCAGAATTCAATACGTTACTTTAAATGTATACTACAAACTACCTATATTAAGCGTACCTATTAGGTGAATACGATCTCATAAGTTATCGTTTTGTAAATTTTAAGTAGTGAATTTTATTGACAATGTGTTACCTTTGTAAATATGTATAAAATTAAATATTTTTCCAAAATATTATTCCGCCTTTGATTCTGAATGTAGGTCAAGCGTGGGTAATCCGGAGAGATGTCTTTAATAATTGTGTAACAGTGTTTAAGTGGGCCTTTGTTGGGGGATAGTATAGCGCAGCTACATTATAATGCGCATTGTGATTTCAACAGCACCCGCTCCCCGGAGCATCATGCTTAATCCCCGTGCAAGAGCTCAAAGCAAATTGCTTCACTTTGTTCTAGCACTGTCGAACTGGTTCGAAAATTGTTGCTACTTAAATAATAACAATCCCCGGTAACATTATAATAGTTCGTGAAGCAACTAACAAGTTTGAATTCAACGTAATAGTATTCCAACATTCTGTTTATACAAAGCGGGAATCAATGCAGAAATTGAAATCACATCTTGAGAATATTGGTAATAATAGGAATGTACTACGTAACTTGTTTAACGAATGGTTATCGAATTTAGCTTAAAGAAAGTTTCGATTGATTTGACCTATAATATACTTACCCATGCTCTTCAAATTATCCTCTTTATAGAGAAAACGAGACGATCAATGGCGCGAGAAACGGGTCCAACGAGATTGGATGTATGTAAACCCAAAATTACGTTTTCAAGCCATGTTCAATTTGGGTCTAAGTGAGTAAGTAATTAGATAAGTTTTGAGAAATCATTTTCTAACATAAATGGTCTCATTTTGGGAAAATACTGTCATTACTAACAAGGCTAATCGATTTCCGACGAATCCTATTGGCAGAGGCATAATAGTGCATGCCAATAAAACGTTGGTAGTCAACGAAGCGTGTGCCACAAATCAAGAGACTAGCAATGAATACATTTAATTTCCGTGCCGGTCTTGATGGTTTATCGATTCAGCTATTTTGGCTGTTGCTAATTCGCCTGAATTAATTTAGCCCGGACTGCCAGCTTTGACAGCGTGTTGAGCAAATCTGTAGAGGCGGATTGGTATTCCATGCAACTTGACTGTGACATATTGAGCTGCCGGCGATAATACACTCGACATCAAATAAATCGCACCTCCCGCGACAAGCATTTTCAAACGTATGCATCCCCACTTCCCACCAATATTGGCACCATTTAAAGGCCTAGTTCTAACCTTCATTTCATTAAAGGAAAGGTTTTTACCCCAAAAATGTGTCTTTAGAAGGATACAGAGTCACTTCTTCAAAAAATAGGTAGTTACGCTAGAGCCAACTTTTATGGCTATAAAACTGTTAAGTTGGGATTAATCGCTATCCATCTGTTAAAGAGGACACGTGAGATCATTATTTGGTTTTATAACCATAAAAATTGGTCTCATTGATCCCATAGGTGGGCCCAAAGTGAGGTATTTTTTCAAGTCACATTTATGGTAAATGTTAATCATTTATTAAGAAATTAAATGTGTTTTTCTTTAAGGATATTTATTGGGCTTTCAAATAACACCAATATTGTTGGGGCACCATGATTGTGTCAGAAGAAAATCGTTAAAGTTCGCGTCGCGGAAGGTGCGGTTTATTTGATGTTGAGTATATTATCGAAGCTAAATTGAATACCTCTGTCCTTTAATAAATGACAGTTATGCTGAAACTAGAAAAGTAAATGATTAGTGAAAAAACTTGTATGGGTTGATTCTTGTAATAAAAAATGGGCTGTTTGCAAATGAAAATTTCTATTAGTAATTTTATTTATATTTATTATTTTTCTCAAGAGTAAGCTTCCAAATAAATAGCAATAATAAAATAAGTTATTTTAACGCATAATAAGTACCTTGAAGTCATATTAACAAATGCGCCAATTATATTCTTCTTACATAAGAAAATATTTCAAAAGATTTCATGATAAATCATTTATCTATTCCACCATTAATTAGAGTCCGAAATATAATTTTATCGCAATCTAAAATTACTTAGAATTCTCGTCTTTCAACATTAAGGTAGACGCTGGTCTAGATATTTTTAATAAAATTACCTGGGATCTTTGTGATATTACAGCTCTTCAATAAAGTTATCTAGACCCAATTTAATTAAAACTAGTGGTTTTACACGCTATTTATTTTATATTACTGGGGCAATGTCAGCTGTCTCGACCTTCACGATCAATAAAACTCACCCAAAGTGTTGTTTACAAATTATCCCGACCATTAATTACGCCGAATACTTTGGGCAACATACTAAAACACCAATATGTGGTATTAGCTTTAGTCAGCGGCTTTACCCGCGTGAATTTCGGTTTTTATGGGTTCAGAGTCTTCCTTCTAAAACCGGTAGGTCTCAAACTAGCTCGAATAATAAATCGGTTCAATGTTTTAAGCTTGGAAGAGTCACAAACATCCATCCATACTCACAAACCTTCACATTTATAATATCAGTAGGACAATCAATGCTATATGTAAGTTTAGTATTTTTCAATATGCCTCGCTGATTGATACAGTAGTACACCAAGTTAAATATTTATCAAACCGTTTTCAAGCTTCACAACTCTCCTGACTGCACAGAACGTTCTTGTTTTGCAGCATCGATTCGCCACGGACAATTTTAGCTTCCCAGAATTAATCTAACCGATCCGAATAGCTACTGTGAACACTCCAACCTGCTCGGCCCATTGACACCCGGTTGAATTCGAGTTCTATACACGACACGGCAAAGGCAAACTCGATCCTGCACTTCACTCTACATAATAATATTATCACATAACTGCTAATATTTTGGTTCAGTCATATCAAATTTCACCGCATGAATTATGATTAAGTGTTTACTTACGAGGTACATAAACCACTGAATTGATAATTAATTTTGGGTATCTGAGTACGCAAATATGAATCTTCAAGGCATAGTGAACAGGCACTTACAAGGCAGGTATGATCCTAGATTGCATCTCATTTATCATCAGGTGTGATTGCATTCAAATACTTGCTTTATTCTGCTGCAGTAGTTTTAATTTTCATCACGATATCCTGTTAGATAAGTACTAGTAATTATTAGTAAATTCAAATACCTATGTAGTTTATTCAGTAGGAAAAAAGGGCCTATTTACATAGGCCCTTTCCAGGGCACTTATACAGTACACGTCCCAAATATAGCTTGCCCTGCAACTACTACCTGCCAATACGGAGCTAATACACTCAAAGATCTAGGCAGTAGATAATGCGATCCATGCCACAACTCCCAAGTGAGTATAGAGTATATCCGAGCAGAGCAACACGTGACGGTAGGATCAACGTAAATCATTGTAGCTATGTTTGCAATTAAGTTAAGGAGTACCTACTATGAAGGCACCGAGTCCTTCAGCGGTCCTATACGCCCAAACGTGCAGAAACTTTATAAAACAGCCAACACATTATATTTTTAATAATATTGCATAACCACAGAATATTCTGTAGATACTAATAAACGACTAATATTTACCCTGAGTCATCAATTTGTATTGAACCAAATAAACTGAGTTGAATTATTTACTGAACAATAATGGCTAAAAATACCTTTAACCTTTAATTTGTGTCATTACTACTCCATTAAACATTATGTCGTCATTAATAATATAGTGCTTAGTTGCCGTTCATTTTATGCTTAGCTACGGATTCACTTTATGGTACCTTTTGTCCCGTGTAGATTACATTATTGTAGTCGGACTTGAATCAGCTGGCTGTTCTACTTCTGCTGTCCCAGAGTCACGCCCCAAGACTGTACGAACAACGTTTCTATTACTCGTGTCACTTACTTAATTAAAACAACGCTGTATTTTCAGTAAAACATCCCTCTTAAAAGATATAAGTTACAACGCACGTACCTACATTACGTAAGTCACAATTATTCCATAGGGGCACATAGCGTATTGTCATAAAATGTTAGGACATAATCATGTTAAAAGGTTTATATTACATAATGACTAACAAACTCGGTTGATTAACAAGCATCCAAAATAAATACAGGTATATCTGTAAAATGGTTATGAAAAATATCTACCAAAAGAAACACTTAAGAAAAAACGAAAGATCGTTACAAAATGACGCGTAAGTACAGTTTATTACCCGCCTTTACACGAAAGACTAAGATATTACGCTAAATGGGCAATCAGAGCAGATGGCATTCATTTAGCTAAACATCTGTAATATTCGCAATTAGAACCGTGATATATCTCGCCGTGACGGCGCTCCACACGCGGGATTAAATCACAGTCCGCGTTCCTACAGATTCGAGCAGCGATCTCGCATCCCGACATCGAAGTGCCTATGTTGTGGGGAATATGGGAACCGGCGGACATTCATTTCAGAATGTCTAGATGATAATTTTTCTATAGTATGTCTTTAAGTTAGCCAATAAAAATTATTTTTAACATAATATGCAAAAGTAAACATCTATAATATTCGCAATTAGAACCGTGATATATCTCGCCGTGACGGCGCTCCACACGCGGGATTAAATCACAGTCCGCGTTCCTACAGATTCAAGCAGCGATCTCGCATCCCGACATCGAAGTGCCTATGTTGCAGGCAAAATGGGAAACTGCCGACATTTTCAGAATGTCCAGATGATAATTTTTCTATAGTAAGTAGTATTAAAGTTAGCCACTCAAAATTTGTTTTTCAACGCAGGCAAAATTAGCAAATAAATAATAATTTACGAAGGTACCAATGTTAACTAACCTACTTTCAAAGCCACACAGAAAATGTCATACATAATAGGTACTCGTATATTATGTGTCGTGACCTACCTTTACCTGAATATAATGATAGCAACAATGCTGTGGACGTTATTAATTCTGACTACTGTAATTTTGAGATTTCAATCTACAATGCATAATAACCGTTGATAATAATCTAGGTTGGAATACGACTTTTGATGAA